CAAGGAAAAGATAGATATTTCTAGTTATATAAATACTTAAACTTTCATATGGCAAAATTAATAGACAAAATATAAATCTGGGCCATTTTTTCAACACAGAGTACAGATTAATTTGGGGGCTGTTGATCACCTACGCATATTCAGACTTTCCATTCCTAAACATGGAATTTTCCTTAATTTATTTAGCTTTTCTGAACAATTGTTTTCTTTATTTCACTAAAAATGGCATTAAAAACCAACTGAAATGAGGCATAGTTCAAATATAATAAAATTCACCCATTTTAAAAGTACAGTTCATTGAGTTTTGATTAGTACCACTAATGAACAAAATTTTATAGCTGGACAAGTCAAAGACAAATATAAACAATAAACAGGAAAAAGATAGAAACAAGCAGTTTACATCAAAGCAAATCAAAATGGTTAACAAACACATGAAAAGAATAAAACTCACTAATGGTAAGGAAAGTGCAGAATCAGCTAAACGGAGACATCCTTTTATATCTTTGAGAATGGCACAAACTTTAAAAAGATCTATAACACCTACATCTGGGGGGTGTTATAGATGAACATTTATTTATTATTTGTTGTTGTTAAGTGCCACTGAGTCAGTTCTGAGTCATAGCATCCCTGTGTAGGGTTTCCAAGGAGCGGTTGGTGGGTTTGAACTGCAAACTGTTGGTCAGCAGTGCAGTGCTTATCCTACAGCAGCACATCAGGATTCAGGAATTGTAAAATAAGTTAGGAATTGTAAAATGTTTCAACTTTCCAGAAAGCAATCTAACAACATATATTCAAATTAAAAGTACACATATACTTTGGTTTTGGAATCCCATTTCAGAGAATCACTCCCAAAAGAAGAAAAATCATCCAAAGTTAAGGATCTATAGCCAAATATGTTTAGTAAAACTTATTCTTTGTGTCACAGAACTGGAAGCAAAGACAATGCCTATATAATGGATGGTTGTAAAGATATGGCATATACATCCCATAAAATATTAGGCTAAAATTCAAAAGAACAAATTAAAATAAACCACTAGACTTAGAATAATGTTTATAAAATATTGCTGAGTGAGAGTTGAAAGATTAGAAAAAATTAATGTGTATTAAAAAAAAAACAAAAAAAACTCACTGCCGTCAAGTCGTTTCCGGCTGCCAGCGCGCCTGTGTACGTTTTCTGAGACTGTAACTCTTTACTGGAGCCGACAGCCTCGTCTTTCACTCAGGGAGGGGTTAGTGGATTTGAACTGCTATCATTTTGGTTAGCAGTCCAGTGCTCATCCTACCGTGACACCAGAGTAGTTGTTAAGTGTCATCGAGTAGCTTTTAACTCATAACAACCCTGTATAGGATTTCCAAGAAGTGGCTGGTTAAGTTTGAACTACCAACCTCGCAGTTACCAGTCCAGTGATAGCCTATAGCGCCACGACTCCTAAGTGTATATTTACAGGATTAAAAAAAAGAACACAAAGACGTTATGTATATATAGAAGTGAATATATGTATCTGTATGCATATTTCTGAACATTTGTATGTGTTTATATGAGCGTGGAGAAAGTATATTCAGTCAATGTGAATTCCTGGAGAGAAGGGTGATATGGTAGGAGGGAGAGTGAAAATGAGAAAGAGCGAAATAAAATAAAAAGAAAATCAATAAAAGTGCACTACTGTGAAGAACTGGAGTCCTGGGGTGGCACTGTGGGCTAATGCGTCAGACTGCAAAGTCGTTTGAACTGCAAGGTCTGTGGTTCAAGCTCACCAGCTGCTCCTTGGAAACCTTATACAGGGTCGCCATGGGTCGGAATCGACTCAACGGCATTTAACAACAACAGTTGTGAAGAACCATTCATTATCTGTTCTCATTTATTCATTCTCCTAAAATTATATGTGTCTTTATGAGTATAAAGCTTTACAAAGTTATTTTAAAAAGTAAAGTCCACAACCTTTCAAAATATACTTAAATTCTTTTCCACAAATCATCTCTAGATTTAAACTATATATATAAATTAATGGATAGTGTATATTTATTTGAAACTAAATGTCCAATTATCTTTTTCTAATTCTTCTGTTCCCTCTCAGGTCCTGTTAATTTTGAATCCTGGAAACAGAGCAATAAGATGGGGTGGGTGTGGGAAGAACTATAAACTTTGAACATCAAACGAGAGAGTGCAGTCTCAGATGAGGATGGAAATGATTTTGAGGAGTTTGTCTTTTTGGTACTTCCTGAGTCTTCAAATACCAACCAGTTCATAAATTTCACAGTTCCCAAAAGTCTATTATTATAGTGAATCAAATTATAATTTTGGCGGGCACCATCCTGCCAAGGGACAGAACAGCGAGAAGCCTTATGCATGAAAAATTCATTGTTTAGCAAAGCGACAATGAATGTCCCCTTGGTTGGCAAAGCCCCAAGGGGTGTTTCATGCAGGGGCCCCGCGGTTTCTAGCTTTTCCTTGGAAAAATAGTTTATTTCTGATTTCCTTATAAGAAGTTTTAGAAAATCTTGCATAATCATTAGATACTTTAAACAAACCTCACGTTATAATAGTTGCCTTTCACATTAACATTGACTTTCACACCATATTCAATCTTATGTAATAAAACTTGTTTTTTACATTAACAATAAGTTTTAACATTGGCGATAACCACGCTAGCTAAAGTTTTAGCAATTCAAGCTTAAGATTGTAAGCAACATTCCATGTAGTTTCAGTCAAGGACATCAAGGCCTTTAGAAAGCACCTTAGAAACAGTCAAGGGCAGTGGGAGGTTAAGAATAGAAGTAAAAATTAGATTAGAGGTTTTGAGAAATTGTTAGTATAAGAGAATTACTGCTTTGTTCTTAACTATGAAACTTTAGGGTACTTTTATGTTCTTGTTTTTATTGTTAAATCAATTATATGTATGACCAGTTATAGTAAAAATTATGTTTTTGATTGTGAGTTGTAATTAATGAATCTATAGAAAGTAATAGATGTTGGTAAAGTTAGAAGTTAAGATGTAGAACTTTGTTTAAAATTAACCTGACATTTAAAGAGGATTAGAGAAAAACAAATCAAGGCCAAACTAGACAGTTTAGGGAGGATTAGAGAGAAACAGAGTCGCTTACAGAGGACAGACGTTATCGGAGTGGCTAGGGAGTGTAGAGAAGCAGGAAGGTTTGATGACCTTGTGTTCCTCTTGTACCTTTGATGTAAGAATATAATATTTGATTCATTTGTAACTGCTTGTACATGACTATTGTGAGATCATAGTATATTCTAAATGGGATATAAGAAGCAACATTTTTGAAGTAAAGAGAGAGTCATCATTACCATCATCTGCCTGAACTCAAAAAGACGCATTGACTCTGTGTGTTTTTTCACCGAATCCGTTCCTCCCTCCTAGCTCTCACAAATTGTCGAGGTTGGTCCCCGGCATAATTTAGCAAGGCAATAAATCAATATCTGAGTTTGACTTTAGACCATCTCTGAGCTATCATCAGCAAAGTCAGAATTTCCAAATCTGAATTGCAGTTTTCCTTAAAACAGTCCTTGAGTCTTAATATTGTTATCTTCATTATATTCAATGAAGGCAACACTTCTCAACTGTTATAACTTAGTTTTCGGTGGAAGCATGCTTTCAGGTACAGGGAAGCATGATTTCAGGTAAGTTTTAGCATTGAAAACCACTGTGTGCCATGGTTCCCATTAGAGACATAAATGGAAGATTGGAACAATTTTGCACCTCTGGATATATCAATAAATGAAAAAAATGTCATTTACTGGTGTGCTAAAGCACACTTTTTAATAGAAATTATAGCATCAGTTGGGATTATTTGATTCTAAGAAATGTAATTTGAATTTAGTTGTCATTGTTTTTGGAAAGGGCACTAGACTCGATAAAGTGGTTAAGAAACTGAATTTTGGATTCAGATGATTTAAAATCCCAGACCTACCTGCCAGATCAGTGAGTTTAGGTAACTGTTATTATTTTTAGGAATCCTAGTGGTACAGATGGTAATGAAGGGCAGTGATTTACACCCACCAGTGGTTTACACCTCCATGGAAGACAGATGTGACAGTCTGCTTCCAAAAACATTTCCAACCTGGGAACCCCTATAGAGTTTACTGTAAATTGGAATCAGCTTAATGACAATGGGTCTAGTTATTTTGCTTGTTGAAGGAAAATTTATGTCAGGAAGTACAATGGCTAGTGTCTCTGGAAATCTCAGGAGCTGGAACATGAGCAGTCTCTTGTTAAGAGGATGAGTAGAACGACTGCCTTTGTGGGACACACTGTCTCCTCATGGCAAGGGAAGCCATGACATCAAAGTTCAGAGTTACACTTTGTTATTGTTATTGTTAAGTGCTGTTGAGTTGGTTCCGACCCATAGTGACCCTGTATAAGGTTTCCAAGGAGCAACTGGTGGGCTTGAACCTCAGACCTTGCAGTCAAATGGCTTTGCAATCTGGTGCATTAACCCATAGTGCCACACCAGGACTCAGAGTTCCACTAGGTCACATAAAACAAGGATAGGATAGTTTCCCTAAGCAAGGTGGTGGTGGTGATGTGCTGTGGAGTTGGTTCCGACTCATAGAAACCCTGTACAGGGTTTCCGAGGCTATAGATCTTTATGGGAGCAGAAAGCCCCATCTGGAACAGCTAGTAGTTTCGAACTGCTGACCTTGCAGTTCACAGCCCAATTTGTAACCACTACACTACCAGAGCTCCTTAGCAAGAGTGGTCTGCAATTAGTAGAGGAAGGATGAAAACAACTTGGGCATGCAAAAATACAAATGTCCTCTACAACAAAAAAATTTAATATTTTTGTAAAACAATGCCTTAGAAAATGTTGTCTGATCCATGTCTTTTCCTCTGAATACGAAGGACCATGAATCATGCTGCTCTCTTCTTATGTATGTATTAGGATGAGGACAGCTGGCATGAGAGGCAATCAGAAAATTCTCCTGAATTCCCACTTACTAAATACCTTGTGGCAGTATAGTTTAGTTTCCCCAAGGTCCTCTATGTAAAAGAGTTTGTGTATTTTCTGAACATTCTTCTCATAGCTGCCTTCACCTCCTTGTTCTGGAGGCTGTAGATGAGAGGATTCAGCATGGGGGTAACCACAGTGTACTGTAAAGGGAAGATCATCTCTAGAGGGGAACCTGAGGTTGGCAAGAGATAGCTGAGGAAACCTGATCCATAGAACAAGATCACAGTAGTGAGGTGAGAGGAACAGGTAGAGAAGGCCTTGCTTCTGCCAGAGGTGGAGCTGATACTCATGATGGTGGAGACAATGCGGGTGTAAGAGAAAAATATCAAGACGAAGGTTCCAAAGAAATGCAAGACAGAGGAGCAGAGCAGGAGCATGAAGTTGATGGAAGTATCAGAGCAAGATAGAGGGAAGAGAGAAGACAGCTCACAGCTGAAGTGGGGTATAGTTTGGCTCTCACAAAAATCTAAATTGACAGCCAGGAGGATATTGATGAGAGCATCTACAAAGGCCAGGCCCCAGGAGCCCAAAACCAGTCTGACACACAGCTGGTTACTCATTACCTGGCCATAGAGCAGAGGGTTGCTGATGGCCACATAGCGGTCATAAGCCATCACTGCCAGCAGACAGGCCTCGGTGCCCCCTGTGGCAAACACTAAGAAGGCCTGAGCCAGACACTCCTCTACAAAGATGGTTTTGCTTTCAGAAAGTAGATTTTCCAACATCTTGGGTACTGTGACAGATGAGTGACAGAGGTCCAGGAAGGACAATTGTCCCAAAAAGAAGTACATAGGGGTATGGAGGTGGGAATCAGCCCTGATCACCAACAGCATCACCAGGTTTCCGATTAGGGTCAGGAGGTAAATCACCAGGAACAGCACAAATAGAAGAGCCTGGGTCTGAGGTATGGAAGACAGCCCAAGGAGGATGAACTCATTGAACATGCTGTGGTTTCCCATAGTGATAAAAAGCCGTGTTATCCTAGGAATTCAAGAAAGAGACCTCAAAACTACCTTTGTACATCACAGTTTCCATCAGTGTACATCAATTTGTTACTGTGCTGAAAATCATGTTCAGTGATTTCTAAACTAACTTCATAATTGTGACAATTACTTTATAATCTTGAACGACAGTCCACCACCCCTCTAGCAACGCCTTATCTAATATTATGGATAATTCTCTTATGCCTTTAGGAGTTTCTGTCTTTTATTTTAAGGCATAGAAATTCAAGAACATTTTTCGTGCTCTTGTAGCATAGTGGTTATGAATTGAGCTGCTAACCTCACGGTCAGCCGTTCGAAACTACCAGCTGTTCCATGGAAGAAAGATGAGGCTTTCTGCTCCATAATGATTTCCAGTGGCAGAAACCCTGTACAGGGTCGCTATAAGTCAGAACCAACTTCACGCTACATAACAACAACAACAATGGGAATAGAGAGAAAATTGTTGGTGTTGTAGAAAAAGCAGCAAAGTCCTTAAGAGATGGAAAGTGAATGGGATTCAGAATGCAAGTGGAGCTTTGTCCCTCGATAAAAGGAAGGATCCTTTATTTAATATAAATGGGCGAGCCAGTAAAGAAGGTGGGAACAGAGACAGCCTCACCAGTTTTATGACTGGAATAATAGAGATTTTCCAAATGATTGCTGCAAAGTTTTTGTGTAAGTGTGAAGTAAGATCATGAACAGAATCGCTTTCTTCTTTTCCCTCCATACATACCTGCATCTCTAACTCTCTTTGTAGGTTCCCTAGGTGACTCAAGTAGGGTGCAATCAAAAGGCAGCTTCATGGAAGAAATGACTGGCAATCTGCTTCCACAAAGATTACAGCAAAAAAGCAAAACACTGGTGTGGCACTGTGGGTTAATGCGCAAGACTGCAAAATCGGTTTGAATTTCAGGGTCAGAGGTTCAAGCTTACCAGCCCTCCTCAGAAACCCTGAACAGGGTCACTATGGGTTGGAATAGACTAGATGGCATTTAACAACAACAACAGCATGGAGCAGTTCTATTGCACACATGGGGTGTATGTTGGAAGTCAGCTTGGCAACTAAAAACAACAACATTTCTCTGTGTAGACCGTATGTGTGTTCAATGAGGTCATGTGAGAGATTGGAATGATGCCAGGAGACAAAACAGCAAGTGGAAGATCAATTTACAAAACAAATGCATTAGATTAAATGTTCATTCAGATTTGGGAACAAGGCCAAACTAGTATCTTCAGTAACATTTAGCTGCTTTAGCACATGTGTGGAACACATAAATATTTGGTTTTAATTGGGTTGGGTTTTAATTGGGTTGGGTTAGAGTGACAGAGATAAAAAGAGATCAGCAAGTAGAGCACACTTGTGGTGTGAATGAATCTCAGAAGAAAGGCTGTGTAAGTCATTAAACTGGGCCATGCAGAAGACAGGCAATAAGTGGTGAAGTCATTGGTTTGGTTTTAAAGAATTGCTTCTGTGGAGCCACCTGGGCAAGCAAGTCACAAATTTAAGAGATTGTGGTTTGATTGAGGGATGCTTAAAATTCAGGTATTGTAGATGTGCTATAAGTGCTGATTATGATAAAGTTATGGATGCTATCGTGGGAATAGAATTTTAAGATGGGGGTGGAAGTTTCTCTCACTGGTACAGTGGAGGACAAAAACACCCTGGATTTTTTAGCTAGGGTGATGAGTATTTTTTCCCTATTAAAAAAAAAAAAAAAAAAATTCCATTTCCTTACATGAAGATTGATCAGTTTTAAAATTAAGTGGAATTAATGCAGAAAAAAACTTAGTCTAAGATAACCAATCGAGTGAAAAACCTAAATCTATTGTTGTAAGAACCACCTACCTGCATTTGACTGTTGAAGCTGTTCTGTAACAGGGTAAGATCTGGATGCATACACGGTGCCCAGCTAAAACTCCTTCTAATAGTTGTATAATCAGACTCTGCTCCTGCCAATGTCTCAGCCAGCTCTGGAAGGCCACATGCCAATTCCAGCAACATTCTCACTCTACGACTCACCCATTTCTCCACTTTGTTCAGAATCCCATGACTTATAGCCTTAGTCCTTGACTAATGTAACTGTTCTATAATTTGCCCAAGTCTACTGCTACACCCTGGTCTTCCTATTCTGATTCAAGACAAGTATGTTCAATTGATAAAAGAAAATGAGAGTTACTCTTCTCCTGACTGTCAAGCCAAGCCTGGGGTTACTAAATCCAGTTACCTGTCTGAATAACCACTAGCACCAGGTTGTGGCAAAAATGCGTTCCGATTCAGCGAATAATTATTCATATCCAGGGACACTTATTCTGCTTATGCAGTTGGAGTTGAGAATCCTGTATCTGAATAGAATTGGGAAGAGACCTACTGAAAATTAATATTGTAGTAAATTATACGATAGCAATAAGAAATAATAAATTGTATATATTATTTTTCAAATGTCTGCATATTTACATATTTATTTCTAATTATTTAAAATGGATTACAAAAATAAAAACTTTTTTTTTTTTTTTTGGACATTTTACTCTTTGGTTTATCCACTGGGCTCCTGACAGCAGATCACTGCATTATTATCTGTAGAGGAGCTAGGCAAAGAAACACATTGTGATTAAAAGCTATTGAGTCCATTACAACTCATAGCAACCCTGTATAGGGTTTTCAGGCAGCAGCTGGTGGGTTTGAACAGTCAACTTTGTGGTTAGTAGTCCAGTGCTTATCCAACAGTGCCACACTGGAACTCCAAGAAGCACATACCGACTCAAGGTTGGTTTGAATGCAAGTTCCGCAGTTCAAGCTCACCAGCCGTTCCTTGGAAACCCTATACAAGGTCTCTATGAATTGAAAGGACTCCACAGCATTTAACAACAGCAATAGCCTTTCCAAGACTTTATAGACATAAGTCTGGGAGCAGAGGAAAGTCTCATCTTTCTCCTGCAGAATGACTGGTAGTTTGGAACAGCTGCCCTTGAGGTTAGCAGCTCGACTCCTCACCACTATGCTACCACAAGCAGGTAGGGGATTAAATGAGAAATCCTTTATGTCACATGGAAAATCCACATTACTCAGGAGTGTGAAATGGGCTGTAGGTCCTCTGTCACATGATATTGAGAAGAGTACAAAGAAAACCCTCTTTGTATTCCCACCTCCAAATAAATTCCTACTTAATAACCCCTGAAGTGTCTATATCCTTGCAGCAAAGTGAAAATTGAGATAAGGTTGCATAGTGTATCTATAAACAGAAAAATAAATACAGTGTTAGGGAAAGTTGCCGGCCAGGAACTTGATTTCTATAGAAGTGGAGAATTTGATTTCTTTTTAGAATATATATATAAAGTGTTAGAAGGATTCCCTCAAGGTAAATAAGTAACATAAGCAAAAACATACCTTTTACCATGACGGATGCCTGAAGTTACACCATGAGTGATTTTTCTCTTCTGCTGTTTCTAATTATAAAACATCAACACTTTGGGGAAGCTTAATGCAATAGGTTTGCTGCCAGATATTTACATTAGGTGGAGAGGATTAATTGAATCCTGCCAAAAGGGAAAAGCAGCTGAAGAATATTCATGGCAGAGTGAAATATGACTTTGTTTCCTAATGTGGATCAGAAAGTATCATCATAGAATATGATTCAGTCTGGGAATGAGTGGGAATCAGAAGGAGAAAGTGGACCAGAGTTTTATTGAATTTGAGAGGTAAGTGTGATCACAAAGGAGTTTGAAGTCCTAGTTTTATTAAGAGGTATGATGCTCCAGAAGTGTGGCACAATGTTAACCAACATCCTACAATTTTGAGACACATTTAAGTATGGTATAAAGAAGGAGTCTTGATGTGCTGCTGGACTGCAAGGTCAGCAGTTCAAGGTCACCAGCCACTCCTTAGAATCCATATAAGGGTCGCTATGATTCATAACCGACTCAACGGCACTTAACAACAACAACAACATATGTGTGATATATCCAAATTATGTCACTTACTTGTTTTACTTTTGTAATATCATTTGACCTTTTAATTAAAAAGTTCTCTCCAATAATTTGAATAAAATTGGGAGAAATAATACATATTGTACAAGTTTTGAAGAACTGGATTACATAATTTATACGTACAGAGCCAGGAACAACATTTCTAATCTATTGTAATTACTAATTCCCAAGGAGAGGAAGAAGAGTGTTTGGGGGGAGCAGCATAAAGCATGTTAAGGCAGAGATCATATGAAGTTGTATGCAGAAGATCTGTCTCAAGCCTGAGGAATACATGAGAGATTTCAGAAGAAAACAAAATTTTTAGAAAGCCAAGGAGAGAGGAAGGGAATGACAGGAAGAAGGAAGTTCTTCAAGGATCACGTTGTTGTTTGGTGCCATGGAATCAGTTCTGACTCATAGCAACCCCATGTATGTAGAATTTCTGGGGAGTGGCTGGTGAGTTTGAACTGCTGACCTTGTGGTTAGTAGTCCAATATTTATCCTACAGCGTCACACCAGGACTCCAAGGAGCATGTTGTTGTTGTTGTGTGCCGTGGAGTTGGTTCCGACTCATAGCGACCCTGTACAGGGTTTTCGAGGCTGTAAATCTTTACGGGAGCAGAAAGCCTTGTCTTTTTCCCGTGGAACAGCTTGTAGTTTCAAACTGCTGACCTTGCGGTTCGCAGCCTGATTCGTAACCACTATGCTACCAGAGCTCCTTAAGGAACATGTTAGAAGGGGACAAAATCATCAGAAAATTTGGGAGGATATTAACATGGTCGGAGACTCACAGGCTTCCTAGTGAAGCTAGTGTCCTGGAGCTTTAGGTTGATAGATAAACAAGGATCAGCTAATTTTCATTCAACTTCCCAACTCTAGGAGAAGACATAGTCTTCTTTGGGGAAGGCTGGGTGAGAGTGGAAAACAAAACAAAACAAAAACACCAGCCCAGGCTCTAAAAAGCACTTTATCTTCAGAGAAAGATTTGAGAATCTTATTTGTGCTCTTACCCC